CTACCTGGTGAGATTAGGCAAGACCCCACCCTAGCAGCCTTTAAGGATTTGAAAACTTGGCTTTTCCAATGTGCCTCTGGCGAGTGACCATACATCCCATTTTTGTTTATTCCACCTACAGTGTTGTCCTCATAATGCACTTTCCCCCCATCCTTAACGAAGGCCCAACCCCATTGATTGTCTTTTTTCCCACTCGTATCTCACCCAGGGTTTTATCATTTTATTTTGTGCATTTGGCCCGCCCATTGTGTTTGACTTTCTATTATGTTATTTTGCATTGTTTATTTTATCTTGTTACATTATGTATTTTATCGTGATGTAATTTATTGTTGTTTTGTATTTTATTTTGCTGTATTGTATTTTTGGGCTTGGCCTTATGTGAGCCACCCCGAGTCCCCTTTGGGGAGATAGTGGCAGGGCATAAATAAAGTTTATGATGATGATGATGATTGTTTATTATTATTCTTAGGAGCAAATATTACTGCAGATGGAGACTGCATCCAGGAAATCAGAAAACATTTACTTCTTGGGATGAGAACAATGACCAATCTCAATAAAATAGTTAAAAGTAGAGACATCACACTGGCAACGAAGTTCCGCATAGTTAAAGCAATGATATTCCCTGTAGTAAACTATTGATGTGAGAGCTGGACCTTAAGGAAGGCTGAACGAAGGAAGATAGACACTTTTGAATTTTGGAGAAAAATTCTGAGAGTGCCTTGGGATGCGAGAAGATCAATCCAGTCCATACTCCAGGAAATAAAGTCCAACTGCTCATTGAAGGGGGGGGGGGGATATTAGAGGCAAACATTAAGTACTTTGGCCACATAATGAGAAGACAGGAAAGCTTGGAGAAAAGAATGATGCTGGGAGAAATTGTCCTTGCACACATTTAAAATACACCTTTAAATGCTTGTTGAGACCAAACTTGCCAATTTTGAGCATTAATGCTGCCTCAGCAACCATCCCACCTCCAAACAGCCCAAAAGATAAATATCAGGATGCTCAGTATATCCCATTAGGCGACATTTCCTCCAACCTTCTAGAGGTTTTGGACGTTGATGTTGTCCCTGAAGATGGTACACCCAATGTAAAGGTCATCATAACTAGTTCTGCCTTGGGAAAATACAAAAGACTGTTCCCTCAATCAGGTTACTCTTTCTGAAAATTAAGAAACCATACCTTATTTATGGAAGGTATCATCATAACCTGCAATTATGGTTATCACAGTATTTTGACGGGTAAAATGAGTAAAATGAGATAAAATAGTGAAGAGTAGAGACATCACACTAGTAACAAAGATCCGCATAGTTAAAGCAATGGTATTCCCCATAGTCACCTACGGATGTGAGAGCTGGACCATAGGGAAGGTTGAGCAAAGGAAGATAGATGCTTTTGAACTGTGGTGTTGGAGGAAAATTCTGAGAGTGCCTTGGACCGCAAGAAAATCCAACAAGTCCATACTCCAGGAAATAAAGCCCGACTGCTCACTGGACGGAAGGATAGTAGAGGCCAAGATGAAGTACTTTGGCCACATCATGAGAAGAAAGGAAAGCTTAGAGAAGACAATTATGCTGGGGAAAATGGAAAGAAAAAGGAAGAGGGGCCGACCAAGGGCAAGATGGACGGATGGTATCCTTGAAGTGACTGGCTTGACCTTGAAGGAACTGGGGGTGGTGACGGCCAACAGGGAGCTCTGGCATGGGCTGGTCCATGATGTCACGAAGAGTCAGAAGCAACTGAACGAATGAACAACAACGTTTTGGTATATCCTATCCTCTTGACCTTTCTGTTTCCATACATATATCTACTACTTATATCAATCAGTTTTACCCTGTGCCTTCCTGCAACAGTTGTACCTCTATTTCCAATATTATTTTAATTCATTGATCATGAAGATAGTCTGTTGTAGTGCCTTACAAATCTGGCTATCAAAGTTTTCCAATTTGATTCCTAGTTTTCATTGGGTTGACTGTTCATGTATTTGATATAATCTATCTATACATAATAAAAGTGAAAAATTGTATGTTTGTGTGGCTGGGGTATCCACTTCCACAGACAAGCTCCCACTTCCACAAACAGCTATAGCTCCCACTACTCAGGAGACACCAAGGGCAAGGTGGATGGATTTATTTATTTATTTCTCGTGTCAGGGCAGCCAGTCAATTATATTA